CTGCTGGTCCTGCCGCAGGACCTGAAGGTCAGCAGGGTCAGCTGCGGCTCCCGGCACACGGCTGTTGTCACACGTGAGTGCCCCGTGGGGGTGGCACCTGCCTGTGGGTGGGGGGCAGGGCTCCCCGGGGCTGATGGTGCTGTCCCGTTAGCAGGAGGTGGTGAGCTCTACACCTGGGGCTGGGGTAAGTGACACCACTGCTCTCCAACTTGGCTGCTGTGACCTGGGCAAAGGTTTATCACTCCCATGGGTTCCAGGCTGGAGCCCCTTGTACGGGGGTGCTCCCCCCTAAAAAGGGACCCATGGGTAATGCTGTGGCATGACTCTGGTGCCTGCAGGTAAATATGGGCAGCTGGGACACGGGGACAACTCCAGCTCCGACCGCCCGCGCCGTGTTGAGCACCTGGTGGCTGAGGGGCTGCGGGCAGAGGAGGTGGTGTGTGGGCCCTGGACCACCTATGTCTGTGTACTGGGGCCGTGAGGGACCCCCTGCCCCTCCAGCCTGGGCCCTCTTGCGTGGCAGCTGCTCAAGCGATAAAGATGACAAGGGAAGGACTGAACAACTTTATTACATCTATTTTTCTATAAAGGTTGTGGTGGTGCTTTGTGCTGTATACAAAGGATGGTCCCAGCTTCCCCCAGCCCCAGGTCAGAGTTGAGGGGCCACCCCCAGGAGCCATCGGTCACCCCACAGAGATACAGGCAGCGGCAGCTGTCTATGTACACAGATACATTATTGCCAGGAACAGTATATACAGAGTTACAGAGCAAGGGGACAGGACCTGGAGAATAAATAAAAACAGCAAGTGGGGGACTGTAGTGATAACAAGGTGCAAATTAGTAATGATCAGCTTCATTAACGAAGATGCTAACAGGCCCCCCTCTGCCCTGTGCAGCTCACTGGCTGCTGCTGGAGCAGAGGCAGAGTGGGCAGTACTGGATGGAGCAGAGCAGGGCTGGGACGAGCTGCCCCAGGGCAGGGAAGGGGGCACTGTCCCTCTGTACCTCGGCTCCTTGTCACCCCTGCCCCAGCTCTGCCCCTCCACGGCTGGGAACAGGAGGGTCCTGCCCTGTTTGGCCATCAGGGCTCCAGGAGGACACTGCTGCTCCCTCCCCCTCCCGAGACCCCCATCCTCGTGGCTGGGTGCTGGGAGAGATGAGCCCAAGGACTAGGGGGTGAAGCAAAGCCAGGGAAGGGAACCTCAGCACCAACCAGCCCTGACTACAGCCAGCCCCTCTGGAGCAACCCTGCTGTGACACAGGAAGGAAGATGCTGGTGAACACCAGCTGCAGCAAAGGAGGCAGTAAAAGCCAGTGACAAAGGGCAAAGGCCAGCTCTCCAAAATAGGTCCTGTCTGTCCCAGAGCACACCCCCCGCCAGGCAGAGCCCCCCAGGACTGGGCTGCCCCCCCGCATGACCCTGCCCTGACCACACGCAAACCTTTAATCACCAACATTTGCAAAAATTTCCCAAATAAAAGCAAGTTTTTAAAAGTGTCCCTTTGGCACCCTGCCCCCCCTGCAGAGAGGCCAGGCTGAGGAGGGGGCTGTGGCCG